TTGCTGCTGCAGGTCGTGTGGTTATCCAGAGGTGAGCAGAGGGAAGTAGGTTCCCCCTGATGAGGTTTGTCAGAAGCACATCCACTGAGGTGGACTGTGTGATATCAGTCAGGACCTCAGTGCTGTGGAAGTCCAGAGGAAGCCGACACTCGTCCAGACCGTCAAAGATGAAGACGACCTGGAACTCTTCAAAGCTGCAGATTCCTTGGGTTTCAGTAAAGAAGTGATGAACCAGTTCCACCAGGCTGAACTTTTTCTCTCCCAGCACATTCAGTTCTCTGAAAGTGAATGGAAATGTGAAGTGGATGTCCTGGTTGGCTTTGCCTTCAGCCCAGTCCAGGGTGACCTTCTGGTTTAAGACTGTTTCCCCAATGCCAGCCACTCCCTTTGTCATCACTCTTCTGATTGGTCCATCTCTTCCAGGTGGGGGTTTAAAGATGTCTTCCTGTCTGATGGTTGTTTCTGGTCTGACTGGTTTCCTGGATGCTGTTTCCACCTGCCCGACCTCCTGTTCATCACTGACCCCTCCAGTCCCTCCCTCTGTGATGTAGAGCTCTGTGTAGATCTGATTCAGAAGGGTTGGGCTTCCTGCTTTAGCAATCCCCTCAAACACACACTGGAACTTTTGCTGCAGCTTAGACCTCAGTTTACGTCGAAAGATTCCAGGATCAAGTCCTGAGTGAACAAACAAGAAGTTAAATCAGTGAGTAGATCCTTCAGAAAGTCAGACACTCTAAACATGTCAGTGTGTGTAGAGTTTGTATCATCAGTGGAGACAAACAGCCTGTGGTCTGGTGCAGATGTGTGCAGCATATCTAGAGCACAGTGTGTCAGTGGAAACCTCTCCCATGTCACCTCCACTTCCTCTTTCCACCATGTTAAACCTGTTCCTCTTACTGCTCTGCAGACGCTCAGCCAGCTCCTCCTGCTTCATCCTCCTCAGGAAGTTCATTGTGATCTGCACAAATGACTCTCTGCTGCTCCTCCTTTGCTCTTCATTCTCACCATCCAACTCTAAGCATTCTGGGTAATCTGGACTCAGGACCCTCTGGATCTTCTTCAGCTCGTTCTTCACAAAAGTGACCATGTTCTCCTCCAGCAGCTGGAACAGAATGAGAAAGTGAACAGTGAAGTGAAACTGGTCCAACCCAACATGTGACTCCTGTGTTGGTCTGAAGGCTGCTGGTCTGAACACAGCAGCATGGAGTCTGTCAGGACCTGAGTGGGTGTTTAGTGTTCACTCTGTGTGCTGTGTGGTTCCTAGGACAAAGTGTGAGTGCACATGTACACACCATAAATATGGAGTCCAGGTCTGGCTGATGCTGCTGTGCAGACTGATCACTGTGAACCTCTGAGCTCTGCTGCTGAACTCTGGGGAGGAAAGAGAGACTTGAGGGAAAAGCCAGGACTCACATGTGACACAACTTATTAAAGGTGACTGATGAGGTCAGACTCCTGCAGCGATGACATGAGGATGGCAGGCGACTCAGTCAGGAGTCATGAGGGAGGAAGAAACCAGGGTATTTTCTAGGAGCTGTATGGCTCAGTAACAATCTGTTCTCCCCTCAGGAACTACATATAGGTCTACACACGGCATCCCTGGCCACAGCAGCTGCCGTCCTGATCAGCCCTCAGAGGGAAGGATTCAGTGTCACACGGCTTTGACGCTGGACACAGGACAAATATCAGGTCTTTATTTAACATGAAGAACTCACAGCTGCAGTTGCTGAAGCCAGTTTGTACCAAAGCTGTTTTATGACAACATGCGAGGCTGCTCCCACTGACTTTGTCTCAGTGTAAGGGGACGGCCTGAACCCAACACTGACCTTCATCATGGTTAGTTTATATTTTTAAGGAAAGAAACATGACTAAATTTAGCTGTTTGTGCTGGAAATACTGGCATCTTAGTGCGTTTGGATCTTACTTTTGATACAGTGGATCATGCTGCTTTTAAAGGATGTGAGTGGTATCCAGTCAGTAGGATTTCATCTATGAGTATCGGTAAGTTCTTTTCCTCCACTGCTCTCCTCACTTGTGGGGTCCCCCAGGGCCCCGTTCTCGGTCCTGTCCTTTTTTTTTTATAGAAGCTTCCACTGGGGTCGATCGTGAAGAAATATGGGCTAACTTTCCATTGCTAGACCAATGATATTCAAATGTACCTGCCTTTGAAAGCAACAAGGAGAAACCCACTACACACTCTGGTCAACTGTGTGAGAGTCATTACACCATGGCTGATGGACTGTGTGATGTTTGGGGGCCCAGGCTCAGCAGATGCTCCTAATTACAACTTCGGCCCTGTGGCCCCACACATTAAACCCCATATGAAGAGTCCTGGGGTGATATTTGACAGTGCACTCAAATTAGACCAACAGATTAGCTCAGTCAGTAAATCTAGTTTCCTCCAGCTGAGACTTTTATCCAAAATGAAGCCTTTTCCATCTTTTAATGGTTTGAAAAAGCAAGTTAAGCTTTGATCAGTCCTAGGTTAGATCACTGTAACATGCTGTGTGCTGGAGTTAATCATTTATCCATTTCCCGTGTTCAGCTGGTGCAAAATGCTACTGCTCATCTTCCAACAAATGCATGTAAACATGACCACATCACCCCAGTCTTGCCTCACTTCACTGATTGTTTTACAACTGATTTTAAGATGCTGCTGTTTGTTTCTAAACCTTTAAATGGTCCAGCGCCTCCTGTCTCACAGAGTTCTTAGATCACCACCTATAAGAAGAATCTGTCAGGTCTTTTAACCAGTTATTTTGTGATGTGCTAAGGTCAAAGGTTAAATCTAGGAGTGAGTGAGCTTTTGCTGTTGCAGGAGTCAAAGAGGTCACAGGAATGAAACTGTAGACCAGCCTTCCACCAGGTATCAGGCTGCTACTGAAGACTTGCTTCTTCTCTTTGGCATTTGATTCTGGTTCGAGACTGCTCAATGTTTGTTTATTAAGTAAGTTTGGTTTTTATTAGACATATGTGGGCAGCGCAGCAGAGCGGTAGTTAGCACTGTTGCCTCACAGCAAGAAAGTTCCAGGTCCAGTGTGGGAGATCCAGCTGCTGTCTGGTCGACTATTCAGGAAGTCAGGACCCAGCTCACTAGTTGGCTCACCTGGCACCTGTAAAGCCTGAACACCCTCTGTTTGTTTGTTTACAAGGCACCAACAACAACTGTGGAACTGTGATGGAGGAAGATGAGCAGCTTCCTCAGCAACTGGTTCAGTCCTGAAACAAGACATGAGTCACCTCTGTAGGAGAGGCAGATAATAACATGGTTAAAATAATTATTACCTCGTATCAGCACGTTCAGATTTAAAGGTTATAGGATGACCCATAGACCCGTCACTCTTCGTGGACAAACAGCTGGGTTCAGGTCTCTGCTGCCGCCTCCTGATACAAACAAACAAGTGACAAATGAAAAGTAGATTGAACCTGAAAGCAGCTGAAGTGGGAGCAGACTGGGACCAGTTGAAATGCTGGAAACAGACAGAAAACCAGTAAGAAGCCAGTGGATGAGTAATGTAATCCTGTTCATCACCACATGTCTGATGACAGACGCCGTCTCACCTCGGTCGATCGGTCGACCGGTCAGTGGTCGTCTTTCTGTTCATTCAGACAGTCAGTAGTTAATGTGGAGCTCCTGAGCAGCTGAGTGCCAGATGTGACAGTGAGTGTGAATCCTGATGGTGCAGTGATGTGTGGTGCTGAGCTCTGACATGGAGAAGAGTCTTGGAGATCCTCGTCTCACCTGGGAGCTGTGCTCTGGCTCTCATGGTCCCCACACAGAGGGCTTTCAGAGGGACGGCCTCCCTCCTCTCTGTCCTCACACCGACTCATGGCAGAGCTGCACCCAGTCAGTACAACAGTAGCACTGACATGTTCCTGGGTAGATCCTCAGTTGCTGAGTTCCCATCCAGTCCCAGAGACTGGGGAGCTTCAGCTGTAGAGGAAACACAGAGAGAAGATACTGCTGATCCTCCATCAGTCCATCTGATGTCAGGCTGCCGTCGCTAACGGAAGCAGCTTAGCTTCACACACTTAGTCACTGGACACAACACGCTGAGTGAAGAGGTCACTTTGGGCTGTGGGACACTGGGATGGCCATTTTTCCCTTTATTCTGGCTCTGACCAGACCCGACTGGTCTCTGATGAGCCCAGACCATCATCAGCAGACTGCTCACTAATGACACAAACCCCTGCAGCTCCATATCAAACAGGTCAACAGGAGCTTCACTTCAAAAGCTCCAACAGTAAAATGCTGCTGACACATGAAGGCATCAGGGACAAAGAGCTCATCATGTCTGTTATAGTTCAACGCTCACAGGGGGTGTTTTACTGTACCGTGGACTCGGACTCTTGGTACTGGCACTACATGGAGCTGATAGGACACTGTACTCTGACATGAGGACAGCGTTCAATGCAGACCTGGGACTCATTGCTCATTACTCATGGCTTCTCCCGTTTTCACCTGTGTTACCTGTTTCTCTACCTGCAGACTGAGCCCCGCCTCCCTGTGCTCCTGTTCCCAGCTATTCTCAGGCCACTCCTCCACACACCTTCTTCAGAGCTTCGTCACACTGAGCATCTACACCCCTCCTCCCGCCCTTGATAGATACTGGATTGTTGTCTTCACCAACCTACAGACTTGTCAAGCTCAGGCCTGCTGCTATTTACTGTGATTTATGCCACATGGCTGCTAGCGCCTTACTTGCATCCACCGGCCTCAGAGCATCTGTCAGTAGGGTCACCCTCCCCCCAACCACACGACTAGAACAACATGTGACACAGAAACAGCCGCACGTGAACTGTATTTCTGCCATGTAGCTCTGCTCCTTCCTACTACTAGCAGCTGGACACGGTGGCTAACTGTTAGCACAGGGCCAAGCTCTTCTCCAGACAAACAGCAGCTTTTCAAACACCTGCACGTTCGACTTGTTACAGTCCCATGAAACTAAGAGTGAGACCACAGAGCAGCTGGGAGTCATTCACACACTGGCACTTACCAAAGCTTCACACACGGAGAAAAGACTTGCTGCCAACACGGAGACAAAGTAAAACAAACACCTGGAACCAGGAAATAACCAGAGAGACAGGCGGTGAGAGAGAGCTGGAACGTGGACAAACTTTATCACGCACTCAGCATGTTGCACAATAACAAGACACTTGGCAGCACCATGATCATTCTATCAGTGTAACATTATCAAATGTCAGCAGAAACTCAGACGTGCTGAGTTTGTCCCTGCTAATTCTAATGTGAAGTTCGGATGAAGTTCTGTCACTTAGATTCTATTTTATACATGTTAAACTTTTGCATCTACTTCAGCCTTTGATTAAATTCCTCATTGTTTCTATGATATATATCTGAAGTGCTGAAGTTTTAAGCATGTTTTTACCAGAAGAGCCCTGACAGTAGCAGTAACACAGCGAGCCAGAGGACTGTGTACACACAGGTCTCACTGTGATACTGAGGGAAACCTAAAAACATGAGGTTTCTCAGTGAAGTTCTTCAGCTTCTTTTACTCTGATTTCTAGGCAGGATTGTGAGCAGTGATTTGTGGTGTACATCAGATTTAATGATATCCTCGGAATGTGCAGGTCACACTGCATCTACAAATATGTCGTGTATGATCATGAACATGTGTGTGATAGTTTTATAAATGGTCAGCAGGAGGCAATCAGAACTCAGTTATGTGGGCCTCACAGCCCAGTTCAGGTGAGGAGTGATTGAGATGTGGCCTGTGCTACTGTGTTGAACAGGTAAGAGTCCTGTAAATGGGCAGCTCTTGTCACTTAATACAACATAATGGCATGTAACTTTTGCACACTCATGTTTGGGCTGTAAATATTACTGTGAAGTGACTTGACAGGCCAGGATGGGAACTGTGTATGCGCTAGAGTCACTGGCAGTTTTCATTTTATCCCACCGGTTGCTGTGGGAGGAGATCACAACTGTATAAAGAGCAGTTTCAGGTTATTTTCAGGCCTGTACTTTAGGATGTGTAACACTGCTTCACAACAACAAGTAGATCAGAAAACAGATAAGGACAATCACCTTTATAGGCCAAGTATGTTACACACAAGGAATTTGTTTCCAGTACAGAACCAAGGCAACCATCTGTGGCGCCAACTCAACCGATGGCTCTAACCATCGGGGGCCACAGTGTCTTGCCCAAGGACACTTCGACATGTGAACTGCAGGCACTGAGATTTGAACCTTCAACCTCCAAGTTGAGAGGCAGCTGCTCTACCCACCACACTGTCAGCTCCAATAATCAGTCACTTACAGTTTTTTTTTCAGGTCAGGGTTCAAGTCGACCCAGGACCTTTCTGGGTGAAGTCTGCAAGTTCTCCCTGTACCTGCGTGGGTTCTCTCCGGGTACTCTGGCTGCCTCCTACAGTCCACAGACATGTAGATTAGGTTGACTGGCGATTTCTAAATTGCCTGTAGGAGTGAGTGTGTGTGGTTGTTTGTCTCCAAGTGTCAGCCCTGTGAGAGACTGGTGACCTGTCCAGGGTGGACCTTTACTTTGTGGACTGAGCAGTAAAACACAGAAGAAATAACTTGCACTGGGGGGCAGGTTTCCTCCTCAGGAAACACAGGAGGCCGTGTGTTTCCAACAAACAGTTCAAACATGTTGCTCTGTGCAGCGAGGAGCTGGTGGAGCAGCGAGACCAGAGCAGAGACCAGTGACTCTCTCACTGCAGACACTGTCCAGTGATACTGTCCTCAGCCTGTGGAACTGGTTGCTGGAAAGAGACGAGCCTCATGTTTCCTGAGAAAGAAACATATATTGTGTACTGTATAATCCCCGTCCTTTACTGTACAACTATTAATGTCAGCACAGTGAAGCCACCACAATGTGACATGTTGCAGATGGTTGAGTATCCGGACCCGGTCGGCTTAGTTACTGTTACTGGGTCGGTGGCGTTTTGCTCAGGCTAATGTGAAAAGCTCTTCTGTCTGAGTCCCACTACTGATGAGTCTGTTGTCTGCCTACCTATAGTTCACACACCAGCGGAGGCAATAATTGCTGCACACAGAGCTGAAAACACAACCTGTCAATACACTGTAAGAGTACTAAGCATTGTGGCAAAAGACCAAACTGCAGGCATCACAATTTAACTGTGGCCCAATGTCTTCATGGATCTGTTCTTTAGATAGGGGACTATTGAGAATTTGGTTCCAGGCCCCTGACAACACTTGTTAGGATAAGGAGTATAGAGGATGGATGGATGGATGTGATTACTGAGGATACTGCTCAGCTTAGATACAGCAGAAGATTTTACTAGTGAGTTATATAAAGCCTTACAGAATTGGTACAATAGAAATAATATACTTGAGAAAATCTGGGGTATGTTGAAATCAAACTGGGTAAAACAGATATTGGACACAACTTTAATATCCTGTGCTGTGTTGTGCAGAATGTGTTGGTATGTTTTCTTATGGTATAGAACAAAAAAGTGTACTTTTAAATCTTAAATATGTTTAACATTTATCTTAAACATACATAATAAGTAGGAGGTTTTCAGTATGATTGAAATAAACATCATGTTTTAGTCTCAGATGGAATTTAAGCTGCCTGATTACTCAGGTGCCTTTTCTCTTGTGTCCAGTTAGTAGAAGGGCAGGTTTCCCAGTCAGGATGCTAAAACAGTAGCAGGCCTGAACCTGACCAGTGTCCTTCTGATGGACTCTTGCAGCTCCTTGTTCCTCAGACTATAGATCACTGGGTTCAGGAAAGGAGTCAGGGCAGCGTACAGCACAGCTACAATGATACGAACCTAAAAGACAAAAAGAACACCTTACTAGACAAACAAGGTAGGCTTAGCATACCTGTCATTTTTTCCAAGAAGAATGACCAGTTGCAGCACTTTCTGGATGTTTTCAGATTTCCACTCTTGGTGGACATTTGTGAGACAAACTAAAACAGGAAAGGTAAATCTTAAGTCAGGTCATTTGAGTCTCGTACCTCTGGTGAAAAGTTTGTCACTCTGTACGAAATGTATACAAAGGCAGCTGAGGTGAAAGAGATGGACACCACAGTCAGGTGGGCAGCACACGTCCTGAAGGCCTTCAGCCTCTGACCAGCACCCATCCTTGATAGTGAAATGCCAATCAGGACATAGGAGGTCAGGATGAGGACTCCTGGGATCAGTAAAGACAATGCGGCAAAGAAAAGGGACACAATGTTATCCACTGAGGTGTCAGCACAGGCCAGTCGCCTTACAGATGAGAAGCCACAC